CTTTATTTGCCACCTATATATTTTTTTTTTTCTAAATTTAATTTTTTTTTTCTTGATGAGAGCCCTGTGCAGCAAACCCCTGAGTCAAATGGCTCTTAATTTCTGGTGCTCCGAGCTGCAACGTGCTCAGACGTGTGACTGCCTGACAGACCACACAGAAGCTCCAACCTCCGGCTCAACAAACTCAGGCAAATATCCTCGTGCATTCTGCCATTCCTCTAGAATTAAAATAAACCTACTGCCAGCTTTATTTTTTTTTTCTTCATACAAATACTTTTTTTTAAAAAAAAAAAAAACAAACTTCAAATTTATTATTTATTTCAGGCCATAAACAACACAGAGGAAAGCAGCACATATACGTTCTCCCCCCTTTTTTTTTATAAGAAAACCTTATCGATAAGAAAAGCACAAATCTAGCTCTTCTTTTTTTTTTTTTTTAAAGTTTATTTTTTTAATACTTCGTCCCTTCAACCAGCCTACAAGCCTTTACCCAGAGAAAACACGATTGGAAAGGCTTTTCATGTTGTACTGTTTTTCAGAGGCTGGCAGGAGGGTTTTTAAAGACAATTCACAGCCCCGCTGCCCCAAACGGCACCGATACAATTATTTAGAATTTATTCCTTACTGTGGCAATTTTTATTTTGCTCTGTTTTTCCCAATTTCCTGGGAAAACACAATCAATTGCCCTCTAGTTTAGCGCACCTACACTGTTAACCTCTTTCTCCACATTTTCTCTCTACAAATCAACCACAAACATTTTAGAAGGATTTTACATATATATAATAAAGTCTTAAAAAGGCCAAGACCGCAAGAGAAAAGCCCAAAACCAAACTGAAGGTGTAAATGACCTCCTCCCACCTTCCAGACGTACCTACAAAATCCCTGCTCACTGGTGCAGGATTATACATTCCATTAGGAGTTTGGCCTTTTTCCCCGGGCCACGGCTTGTCCCTGGCCTGTCTGTCTGTCTGTCCTTCCTTCCTTCCCCCCACAACACCCCCCAGGGTAGGGGTGCTGGGGACACCTGCCCCGACCGCTACAGCCATGGGCCCTTCGCCACCTCAGGGAGCTGACCACACCGCGACTGACACAAAACCACCCCAAAAAAAACCCCCGAACCAACAAGACGAGCCCGGAGAGTCAGAATCCCCCTTTTCACAGAGAGCAGGAGCTCCTACAGAAGCGTGAACCCCCCCAACTTGGGTCACCCCTAGACCCCACCCCTTAATTTCTGGTGCTCCGAGCTGCAACGTGCTCAGACGTGTGACTGCCTGACAGACCACACAGAAGCTCCAACCTCCGGCTCAACAAACTCAGGCAAATATCCTCGTGCATTCTGCCATTCCTCTAGAATTAAAATAAACCTACTGCCAGCTTTATTTTTTTTTTCTTCATACAAATACTTTTTTTTAAAAAAAAAAAAAACAAACTTCAAATTTATTATTTATTTCAGGCCATAAACAACACAGAGGAAAGCAGCACATATACGTTCTCCCCCCTTTTTTTTTATAAGAAAACCTTATCGATAAGAAAAGCACAAATCTAGCTCTTCTTTTTTTTTTTTTTTAAAGTTTATTTTTTTAATACTTCGTCCCTTCAACCAGCCTACAAGCCTTTACCCAGAGAAAACACGATTGGAAAGGCTTTTCATGTTGTACTGTTTTTCAGAGGCTGGCAGGAGGGTTTTTAAAGACAATTCACAGCCCCGCTGCCCCAAACGGCACCGATACAATTATTTAGAATTTATTCCTTACTGTGGCAATTTTTATTTTGCTCTGTTTTTCCCAATTTCCTGGGAAAACACAATCAATTGCCCTCTAGTTTAGCGCACCTACACTGTTAACCTCTTTCTCCACATTTTCTCTCTACAAATCAACCACAAACATTTTAGAAGGATTTTACATATATATAATAAAGTCTTAAAAAGGCCAAGACCGCAAGAGAAAAGCCCAAAACCAAACTGAAGGTGTAAATGACCTCCTCCCACCTTCCAGACGTACCTACAAAATCCCTGCTCACTGGTGCAGGATTATACATTCCATTAGGAGTTTGGCCTTTTTCTATTTTGTACTATTTTAACACCCCAAATTTATAGATTTTTAAAATGGGCATGTTAAAAGGGCTTTCTTTAAGGATTTCAATGAAAATAGTGTTATGTTTTGTCATATTACCATAATCCTTCTTTTTAAATCACTTAGAATTTCAGTATAACCTAATTAAGTAATTTTAAGTAAGTCTTAACCCAAATACATAGATCTAATAAAAAAAATGTATTTTGCAAACAGGGAAAATGGACTTCTAAAATGGATTCCTCAGGTAGGAACCAAGATGCTGAAACATTTTCTCCCCACAAACTTTTGAGCTCTGAACTACTTCACAGCGCTCACATTTAAAACCCGAAATATTTATAAGAAAACATAATTTCACCAAATCTCAAGCACAATGTTTCATTGCCATTCTATTTTGTTTATTCCTTTTCTATTTAAAAGAAATCTTGCAATTTTCCTTGCCAAAAAGGAGGGAGACTCAGGGAAGAAAAATACTGCAAAATCCTAGCTCCCTATCTTCACATATTGTTTATTTCAAAGTTCTTCTGACAGTTTATATTGTTTTTAGATATAGTATATTATTTTGTGAGTGGAAATATTATTATTTGGATTTTTGCCTTTTTTAAAAGGCTACAGGAGAACATTAGAGATTTTAGAGACTTTTAACCATTTTAAATCTCTCTCTTTTTTAAATGCTACAAACCTCCCATTTGGTAAATGGAATTTACATTTCTCTCTCGTCTGAATTATCGAAGTTGAATCAAAAATTCACCACAGAAAGAACAGGTGAGGTACCACAACACCACAGCAAGTCCCACACTAACACAGCTCCTCTCTCCATTGGTGTATTACCAGCTTACACAAAGTATAAAATACTTCCGAAATAAATACAGCCTCTGCCCCGAGCAAAACAAATTTTACTTATTTGACCCCAAGGAACCACATTTTCTCAACAAGCATCCTGTCTATAGCATTATGCCATTTACTGACTCTTGCTTAATTAACCAGCATGCTTTAAAGACAAGTAGCGTTCCTTCAACTTAATCAAAACAGACTATTTTTAATTGCTACCGCATCAAATATATTTGTCAACACAATAAAGCCACGTACAATTAGAAAGAACTGCTTTTTTTTTTTTTTCTTTTTTAGCCCTGGCTTTGACCAACCACAAATTCCAGCCTCCGCTTCCAATTTATTTGCTCTTCTAACACGAGGTGAACTGAAACACACACCGCAGCTCGCAAATACCTCTGTCCTTCTATAACACCCTCTCCTTTTGCATCTTTTACTGAGAAAATCCAGTTTACCACCATCAGCACCACCGTTCTCCCGCAACCCACCACGCGCTTCCGAAGGACCTGGCACTAACTTCCCTCTCTCTCTCTCTCGAGGCTTCACTTCCTCACCTCCAGCAAAATAAACCCCAAAATATTGAGGGTTGTCCGCAACAGCAATAAACTCCAAAAAAAAAAAAAAAAAACCCAAACAAAAAAGAAAAACAACAAAAAGGCCAAAAGGCCAGGTATTATTAAATCCAAACCAGAAAAGTTATTTTCTCTCCACGCCAAAAGACATCAGGAATGGTACGTTACCTGGGAAGTGATGCTCGTGTCCCACGGACGGACATCCCTCTGTCCAGACCCGGGCCACCCCGCGCTCCCTGAAACCCTAGGAGAGAAGAGATGGAAATTATTACATGCTTAGCCCCATCTCTGCACATTCAGATCACCTGGCTCTCACAAGGCTTTGAGTCTCTCGGTCTGAAAAGCGTTTTAAAAACTCGTGTTAAAATTCTAATTGGAGCCCTCGAGATTGTTTTTGATAACCCAGGTGCACGTGTCAAAAATTACCCGGTCCTTTTTAAGTACCACATTCTCCAGACCTGGCTTTAAGTTCTAAGAGGCCTGTATTCTGCTGCATGCTCCCCCCTGATTAAAATTTCACCTGCAAACGGCGTGATCTTCTATTTAAAAAAGAAAATAAATCATTTATTTTACATATATATTGAAATCTAATTTTTTTTGGTTTGTTTTGTTTTAAAGCCATTTACACAAGGGACAGAGTCCTGAGCTATCCCTTCCCACAGCAACTTTTCCCTCCCCTGCTTTAAAAGCTGAATTCCTTTTCGGATAAATTGCTTTACCCTTTTTTGTTTTAATTTTTTTTTCCTGGGATTTGTGCTATTGTGTACTTATTTGTGATGCTGCAGAATTTAACGCAGGCCTGGAGTTTTGAGACTTCTGTCTCCCTCCCTTCACCTGCGAGGAAGATACCAGCTAAAAAATCACTGTCTCAACACCATTTTTATGCCCCTTTTCTCTCTCTACTTTTGTCAAACAAACGCAAGGGGGAAAAAAGTTAAGATAATGAGTACAAATTGACAGTGTACTGCATTTCCAAAAAAGCCCTTGTTTCAGTTTGTCATTTAATAAGCATTATCCATGTAAGTCATGGTCAGAAAGCCTCAGCACTGTAGGGTGAAGCATTTGTGACTAAACTGCCCTATTTTATTTTTTTTTTCAATGAAAAAAGGGTCTGCCCGCATTGAAATCTTTTCTTCCATCTTTTACCCTCCTCCTTCCACATATTTTCCCCTCATCATACTGCTTAAATCCTAGTGGACTGTTGCCGCACGTGTATTTTTCCACCCAATTTCCTAGACATTGACAAATGTGAACCAGAAAAGCATTTTGCACAATGGTAACTTATCTAAACCCTTTTTTTCACCCTTTCTCTCTTTTTCTCCGTGGCACCCTAGGCTTTTTTTTTTTTTTTTTTTTTTACCCTCTGATGTTGCTTTGTTTGGTCTTTGCCCACTTTTCTGTGTATTTCTCTCCTGCTGCTCCTATTAGACCGGGCAGGAAGAACTGTATGTCTCTCTCTCCCATTTCTTACACTCTCATTTTTTTTACTGCTTTACAGATTAAACACAGTCTACCGTCATTTTCATATATTTTTAGAGATACTTTTTTTTTTTTCTTCTCTAGGAACTTGCTGATTACAGTCACCCATATTTTTGCAAAGCAAGGAGAGCCCTTTCCTGCTCCAGCTCATGTTCCTGACAGTATACTAAGTGTAAAGGAACTTGCAAGTCTGTGATGGAAAACATGAAAAAGGAGAAAGGGGGTAACATCTAGAAATGCCCCTTACCATCACAAAGAGAAAAAAAAAAAAATAAATAGACATTTTGAACTGGTTCTGACTCTTTAAAGAGAAACCATCGAGAGAAAAACCCCACCTCAGGGGAAATCTTTATCAGGATCACTAGCAACACTTTTCTACACTAATAAAAGTAAAGAAAATTTTAAAATTCAAATTTACTGGTCGGCATCACCTGTTTAGGATTTACTGTTCTGCATTTCACTCAGCCTGGGGAGTGAAAGTTGCCTGTTGGTTTCACTTTTGTTCTCAGCCAGTTTCACTTTCATGCACTGTGAGAATCTTTTACATTTTGGGTTCAGCAATGTTAAAGAAGACATTTACATTTTTAAACAATCCTCATTACACTCATAACACCAGCAATTCGTGTCCATCTCTTTCCCAGGACACTCGGTAAAATAATAATAATTTGGAGGCCTAACTGGAAAGGGGCAGCATCCTTGTCAAAGGAGCAGCTTTTTCACTTGTCACGTGTTTAGGTTGTGCTCTGCTCCTTCTTTCCCTGAAATGGATAGGAAACGTGCCATGAACTTCCCTGACGGCAGGATCAGGCCTCTGGGTCTGTAATCTGCAACAAAAAAATGCCACAGGCAGGCCAATATATTCCTTATAACCTACAAGGCTTGCCTTCTATTAATTTCCTATGCAAACTCAAGGGGAAAAAAAAACAAAAAAAACCAACAACCAGCCCCTGCATTCACCTTTCTGTATGTTTTTAAATTAGTGATAAATACCCTTCCTGACACAGGGCGAAGGAAATTAGAAGGGCATCTCCCCACTTGGGTTTGCGTGGGGAGGGAGACGCCGTATTTCCCTGCCACTGGCTGCAAAGAACTGTTTCTCCTTCTCGTGCCAAGCACAAGCTGTAGGAGACAACCCGACCCACGCAGAACCATGGCTGTCCTGCACCAGGACCTCCTGGAATCCCAATTTCCAAAGCACAGACCTGCCTCACCCTCCATTTTGCCAGGACAAACCACAGCACCTTCAGAAACGAGAATTTCGACAGCAAGGTTGGGGGGGGGGGAGGAAATAGGCTTCCATTTACATTTTCAAAACCATTTATATTTTCAAAACCATTTATATTTTCAAAACCATTTATATCTTCAAAACCATTTACATTTTCAAACCCCTTCCCTTCCCTTCTATATTACGTTTTCAAACCCCTTCCCTTCCCTTCTATATTCCCCTTCCCCTCCCACAAGGCAGCCCTGACCCTCGCACGCACGTGCAAGGAAGCCCACAGACGGATGGCACCTTCCTCTCCAAAGCTACCCCAAAGCACTGCTCTTTCTGTCTTTTGGGGGATACAGGGGTTTTCCGAGACCTCGAGACTCAAGGGGAAGAGCCAAGGGTTTACAGGAGCCGCGCCAACGTTCGCTTTTTCAACTCCTTTCCCACAAATTCTGCGTCCCGCAAGCCCGCACGGAATCTGTCACTGGCTGCTTACAGATTATTATTTTCCTCTTTACGTGCCAAAAAGTTAAATCTTAAAAGCTTACACACGTGACTCCTGGGAGAATACCTGTATCTCCATTTCCTACTGGTTTATTGCACCGTGAGAAACGCAAATAAAAAGGGGGAATTGCACTGGGATCTTGGGAATTGCACTGGGATCTTGTACCTGTCCGTCCCACAGCCGCGCACTTTCCTATCGATGGGAGCAGACTGTGGGACCATATATTTGACTATCTATGATCCCCTCACGCATCTGGACACGAGCACTTCCACAGCACTAACCTAGTCTTCCCTGTTTCTCTCTTCCCAAGTTCCTCTTTTCCCGGATGCCACTACACGGAAAAGGACCAACCGCCCTCCCAAAGAATTTCTCCCCACCTTCCTTCTCCACCTCCACCCCTCCTCTCCTTTCCCCAGAAGACATCTTCTGTGGTGCCGAGGCCAATTCAACCCCAGACTCGCACATACACTGAATTTCAAGGGTACAACTGGACCCCGTGTTCGGGGGGGGGGGGGGGGGGTGGTCAACCATACCTTGGGCCACCATGGTGCTACACCAAGAGGGACCACTGTGATCCCCCAGGTCACAGAGAAAAAACCCCATCCACTGGAAAGCACACGATGACAACACTGACTTTCACAGGCTCACCACGCTCATGAAATTAACAATTATCCATCAATTCATACTGGTGGATCGTTACCGACGACAGAAATAATGACAGGGAAATACAATGGCCTGTTTTCAAAATGGTTCCTCTAAAAGCCACGTCTTCTGACTTGGGCTTGGTATTAAACACAGCTCTTGGCTCGCTCCTAGAAATGATTTCCTTCTGCAGCACTCTGTCCTGTATTTTACCCAGCTTTTCTATAAATATTTACCATACATGCTTGCGTTACTTTAACTAACGAGATAATTTTAACTGTGTGATTGCTATTTATCTCCTGCCTTTCTGCTATGAAGGAGAAAAGCCTCACAGCCAGGACTATCCATGAAACCTCGGGGGTGTAGCAGAGGGGCAGGAGGCAGTGACACGGGAGGGAGGATGGAAAAGAGGGATGCTGTTCTTTCCAAGATACATAAAGTTATACCCATTCCTGAAAGTGGGAAGCAGGGAACTCCCCACGCCAGCAGCCTCCAAGGGCTCTGCAGCCTCTCCTTGGGGTTCCCAAAATGCTCCACAGCCCTCTCCTGACAGGTCCCACCACAGCACAAGAGGGTACCGCAGGGGCAGCCCGCTCCTCTCTTCCTTTTCTCATCCAGAAACGAGGAGGGGAGCAACTATTAACAACTACTCATTAACGAATTTGGCTCTGGAAGGCATCGGGCATAACCCTTGGTGCTGTGTGATAGTCACATTATTAATAATAATTGCAGCAGAGAGCACCCATCATGACAGGTAGGTTAAACTGAGGAATGGAGATGTAAAGGGGTCAAACGGTGTCTGTGACAGGTGTAGGGAGCACAGCCTGGGACTGCTGGCTTTTCACCTCCTTCTCACTCTCAAACACACCAGGCTGGAGCCATCTCTTTCCTTTTTCCTCATCTCCTAAGCACTGCCCTGATCCTAACTCAAGGAGGGGCATTCCCCCAGGAGAGCCTAAGACCAGCACGGCCATGGCTGGACCAGCTGCTGGGGATGGGCATCTGCAGAGAGCATCCCAGCCATGGGGAGAGCATCCTGGCCATGCTGAGGACCACTGCTTGTGCCCAAGAACCACCACAGCATCCCGGTGCTTGCACCAAGGGGGTTGACAGAGAGACCATGACTATCACACCACGGGTATTACAAACATCACCCAGCTCGATTTTAAACAACCAACATCACGCAACACCCCATAGATTTCCAAGATTTCCAGGATGATTTTGTTCCAACTTCTCACTAAAGATCAACAGAACTAAAACAATACACACACAAATTTTTTTTCCAACTTCTCACTAAAGACCAGCTGATCAACAGAACTAAAACAATACACACACAACAACGGGGGGGGGGAAAAATACTCCCCTTTTTTTCCTTAAATTTAAAGCAACCACGCCAACATCAAAACCT